ATACAAGAAATAGTGAACAGAAAAACTTGCTCAAAGTGAACGTGTCCCCTAAAAGCATAATACATTATCAAGCAAGGCAAAGTGAACGTGTCCCCTAAAAGCATAATACATTATCAAGCAAGACAAAGTGAATGCATCCCCTAAAGCATAATACATTATCAAAAAAGGCAAAGTGAACGTGTCTCTTAAAAGCATAATACATTATCAAGCAAGGCAAAGTGAACGCGTCCCCTAAAGCATGACACATTATCAAGCAAGGCAAAGTGAACGTGTCCCCTAAAAGCATAATACATTATCAAGCAAAGAAAGTATGCTTGGGAAGATTTACTTGTGTACTTCTATCTATAATTTCCAATTATTCAAAATATAAAACATTATGTTAGGGGTAGTATTGACGTTAAATTAAAACTGTAATCACTATTTAATATACTGATAATATCAATTTACTACGTATCTGCTTTCCCTTATTTGTAGTGACAAGGGTCGGTACAGCTTCACTGCAGAAGAGCATTTTGTCGGTGGTAGGAGTGCAGCAATTCTAAGTGTTCAGCAGATTTATTTTTGTTTCGGTGTGCAATAAATGGTTGTTTTTGAAGAAATAATTTGTAATAGTGATAAAATTGTAACGTATTATTGTAATATGAATCTAACCTATATAAAAGCCATTGTGTGTCATGTTACGTCACGCTTGATTTCTGCTGATTTACCGAAATAGAAGGATTCAAAAATTTATCTAGACAGAATACTTCGATTACTGTCTGTCCATTACGATTTTAGTGACGGGTGTGCAAGGGAGCCGTGAGGGGTTGGTTCTGTGAAACTTTGTAAGTGTAGTGAGTGTTGGTACAATGAGCCTAAAGTGAAGACGTAGTGTGGGGCCACCCACGTTAGAGCCAAGTGCATAAAATCTATCATGAAAGTAAAAATACTGCTTCAATTTTATACTTAAATCGTTTCTAAATTAAGCTATTTTCTGTTATATCACCAACGTTTTTAATAATAAACAAATATCTTTGATCAACGGAGACTCTAAATTAAGAAATCAACAAATATTTTTCCAGTCATGTTGTCTGTATATACATTTCATTTTATACTTTCAGTACACAGACTAACAACAATATTAGGCTATGCTTTTGTTGCTAAGCCACATAAAAGCCATTCTTGGAACGTAGTGTTGCCAAAACGCACTGGCTTTTCTATATATTAGAAGTTGTTAATCTAAGTGATTTTTATCAATAATTATCCCATGAATACGTCACTTATTCATTTCATGAATGATTTTAATTTTGATTGGCGCACAAAGGAATTTACCGATGTTTGACTGCCTCGACTGCACTTTTCTGCCTCTTTGTTTCAGTTAGTTATGAAATGTGAGGTCATTTGTGACGGGCCATACGCTAGCATATAATATTATACACTGTATCTGATATTGGGTATGGAAAATGCTACTTTTATGCAATGATTTTGAATTGGACGGTCTGGATGTTTACGCAGGAGAATACGATTGTTTGGAGCTCAGAAATTTGTACAAGTCTCTCCATCTGTGCTGATCCTTAGTGTTCCATTTCTCATCTGAAAGAGAGAGAGAGAGACAGAGGACTTGAACCCCAAAATCATGTGGATGTTCTTGGGAGAAATTAAATTCAAATAGAACTGTGGGGGTGATTCGGTGTGACGGCTTTTTGAAAGTTAAAGTAAATTTAGTCAGTAGTTCTGATCGGCTGATTAATTTGAAAAAAAAAATGTGTATAATTTATTCTTTATAATATCTTTAACTGATGTTTTCCAGACAATAACAACAAGAAAAAGAACTTTCTACCATCCAATCATTTCAGTTGTATTTACATTTTACATAACAAGTGATATATTAGTTTATGTTGGACAACATATTGATTTGTTATTTTAAACGTACACCGTAGTTACATACATTTCGTGCAATAAAACTCATTTTTATTGTAACTTTTGAAATGAAAGCACAACATGTGGTGCAAGTGTGATAGATTGTCAACCCCATTTCGTACAATGAAACTCATTTTTATTGTTACTTTTGGAATGAAGGCACAACATGTGGTGCAAGTGTGATAGATTGTCAACTCCATTTCGTGCAATGAAACTAATTTTCATTATTACGTTTGGAATGAAGGTACAACATGTGGTGCAAGTGTGATAGATTGTCAACTCCATTTCGTGCAATGAAACTAATTTTCATTATTACGTTTGGAATGAAGGCACAACATGTGGTGCAAGTGTGATAGATTGTCAAGTCCATTTCGTGCAATGAAACTAATTTTTATTATTACGTTTGGAATGAAGGTACAACATGTGGTGCAAGTTTGATAGATTGTCAACTCCAGAAATTAAAACTATGAAAGAAAAGGATAGTGATGGAAGACTTGAACATATTTGACATTATATTTTTGCTGAATGCTACCTTCAAATTTAACAATATACAGTGTAATTTATAAAGTCGTGTAATTTATATTATCTAATGTACTACTGGATAGAAGTAATCTTATTTTATTTTTTAACATCATGGTTTTCTATTCTGAATTTTCAAGACACCAAGTGGGGTTTCGGGGCGCTGTCAAATAGTTTGGTTTGATTTTGAATTTCTCTTAAAGCTACACTAGAGCTATCTGCGCTACCAGTTCCTAATTAAGCTGTGCAAGACCAGAGGAAAGGCAGATAGTCATCACCACCCACCGCCAACTGTTGGGCTACTCTCTTACCAACGAATAGTAGGATTAACCATCACATTATAACGCCCCCACGGCTGAAAGGGATTTGAATCCGCGACCTTCAGATTGCGAGTCGAGCATCCTAACCACCTGGCTATGCCGGGCCCTGTCAAATAGAATAGGGACACGGACCCCGTGTATCAGTGCCTAGCGATACCTCTGTTTTTCAATTTGGGACATTTTAGTTGTAAATATAATTATTTCAATATATTCAGATACCATAATGTCAATTTAAAGAAATATCTCAATGATCAAATTGATAGACATTTATTTGCCTTTAATGAAACCTGTACCAGAGCAATGGCTTTGAAAAATTGATACAATATTATTTTATTTTATGGACTAAACTAAACAGTTTGTAATTTTCTGTTACGTTTTTGTATATATATGAAACAAAATCTTGAATACCAATGTTCTTTTTATTTGATTTTTTTCATAAATTGTATGTAATATTTTTATATATACCTATGCATTTCACCTATCAGAAATAAGTAAAATCAAGACTGTAAAATAATTACTTTGTCAGAAACTGAAAGATTATATTTGGTAATACCAAATGGTTTCATGTTTAGCCAAGATGGGTGGAAAAGAAACTTCTGTCACGTTAGATAAAGTGTCTGCTGTATTTCTTTTAACTTCTTCAAAGTCTCGGTCATTGTTGTTTGCTGCACTAAGTGAAAACAGCTTTAATCTTCTGTATAAAACGCACAGTAGATAAGGATAATAAAACTAACAATGTTGCCCAGAACGTTCTTAAAAGAGTTTCCACAGACAAGTGCAACATTTTCAAAGTCTTTATTGATAGTTTCAAAATTGAAACAGACTCTGCACATGCAGCTGAAATAGTGGATATCGAAAAATTGAAAACAGAAAAAGTAAAATTGAACTATAGTATTTTCCATTACTGAAAAGCTGAAAATGAAAAAACAAAAAAAGACAGTTCGTTTTTCAGCTTCTGAAAAACGAACAACAGATTGGTTGGCTATTTATTATTCAAAAACTAAAAAAATTATAAAAGAACCAATTAGTTTTACAGAAGCTGAAAAAGAAACTGGTTCCTTATTCATGTTCTTATATTTCAAAACTCAAAAAAAAAAGAAAAAGAACACGTTCGTGTTTCGGTATTAAAAAAAAAAAACGAATAACAAAAAAGTTAGTTTTTATTTATTTAGAAAACGAACAGTGAACTTGATCTTACTTCGATCTTCCATTTCTAACAACAGGTTCTCTTAGTGTTTGAAATTATATCCAAACGCTCCAGTTTTTTTTTTTTTTTGTTGTGCTTATAGACCCATATATTATTCATTATTAGTTTATATTCAGTGGTACAGACTTTGAAAAACAACATGAAATAATTTATCAAATGACACAAAGGGTTTCTTTGATGATAAAAGAAACGTCCATTGGATCGAATACTTATATAACGCATGCAAACTAAAAGACATTAATGAATATTTTCACCACTACGTACACAAAGGTATATAAATTTACCTTCTTACTGTAAACAAGTAATTACTTCTATATATCGCAGATGGGTATAGCATTAACACATCCGAACTTACAATTCGGATATCTTAAAGAGAACTAATTGGACATGCTAATAACTATATATATTATTAAAACAGAGTAGCGGAGTTTTAGGTAAAATTATTAAACGTAGAAAGTTTAGTGAGTTTTAGGACAATGTCATTAGCCGAGTACGTTAAAATCGATTCAAATAAGTGGATATACTGAAAAAAAAAAAAACAAATCCTAGAATGAACTCGAAGGTGAAGCTGAATATTGAAATTTTCAGCCTGCATGGCACCTTAAGGGCATGTGGCTTAAATAGTCAGGTCAGAGATCTCTAGGATCTAGGTATAACTGTAATTAATTTTGTACTACTGACCAGTGAAAAGGCAGCCACACACCAGCATCCGCCGCCGTTTAGGCTTTGTACGGTTCCTTGAACTAATTAATATGATTGACTTTTAATTTTATAACACGTCCAAAGCTAAAAATACGAAATTTATCCAACAAACTTACAGCTCGAACCTCGGAACCTTCGATCAGCTGCGAAATATTGATATATGAGTATATTTTAATTATAGAAAAGCTAACGTAGTCAATGATTATTTCAGGACAAATTTCCGATGTATTTAAATGAAATACTTAAAATAAAATTACACCGTCCTTCTGATGTTTTGGAGAATGAAAAAAAAATCATGTTAGAAGATGATTCTCTACTCCATGTAATATATCTATGAAATGAATTTAACCTACCATGCGATCCTTGTGTTTTTGTTGAACCGGTGTACTTCTGCTCGAGGATGAACCACTCCTACTGATAGGCAGCTCTCTCTTCAGCCCGTTTTCATGAGGCTGTCCATTTGGGGATACAGAGTCCTAAATAAAAATTCGTTCCAACACAACAGAGTAGTATCAGTCATATTTACTATTAAACATATCATGTAGTCATGGCATATTTGGCTGAAATTATGAAAAATCAATCTTGAGTTTTAATTTAACAACAACATCTATTAACATAATCTACTTGATCAAATAAAAAAAAAATTCTTATTTCATTGGATAAATACATTGTGTGTATATTCAACAACCTTAGCATTATTGGGCACAAATACTACCAAATAAAGTCAACAATCCTGATAATACAGTGTGTTTCTATTTCCCAACATTCGTACTTAAATAAACAATCTCCCAAATACGATAAACATTATTAACTTCACTGATGACGATACTCATTATCACAATTTCATCGGTTAATATATTTTCAAAATATGTTCGACATCGTTTCATTGGGTGTATCTATTTTATTATTTAAGTATCGACATCTACAGCAGCGTGTATTAATTAAAGATACTAACTTCATTGGCCATATCAACAACCAAGTCTTGGTCACTTTTTTCGTCGTCACTGGTCTGAAATTACAAATTCATAGTATGATTAATTTTTAAGAGATAATTATATTCTCTTCACACAGATGTTTTAACGAAACGTGAAACTTACACAGGTGTCTTCCTGATCTTAATAATTACATTCTCTTCACACAGATGTTTTAATGAAACGTGAAACTTACACAAGTGTCTTCCTAATCTTAATAATTATATTCTCTTAATACAGATGTTTTAAGGAAACGTGAAACTTACACAAGTGTCTTCCTAATCTTAATAATTATATTCTCTTAATACAGATGTTTTAAGGAAACGTGAAACTTACACGAGTGTCTTCCTAATCTTAATAATTATATTCTCTTAATACAGATGTTTTAAGAAAACGTGAAACTTACACGAGTGTCTTCGTAATCTTGATAATTACATTCTCTTCACACAGATGTTTTAACGAAACGTGAAACTAACACAAGTGTCTTCCTAATCTTAATAATTTTATTCCCTTTTCAGTACACACTATTTATCGTCTAATTACTTGTAAAAATGTTTGCAAAAAAATAGCTTGCTGAATTAATTGTATAAAAAACCCGGGGGTGGGAGGCTAAATATCTGGAAAGGTTATATGCCAGTTCTCATTATATCTGAAAGACGAGTGCGCAACAAGCACACTACTGTGCACCCAAAAATATCTTAATGTACTCTACTTAAAATTTATAATTTGGTACAAAATATTTTATGTCCGATCAGTGTTGTCACTAAAATTATTTGACATCACTGTGTACTTTTTACTTGTCTTTGAGAAACAGATAGCTACTGAACGTATTCAATCGTTTTATAAGGTTAAGGTCACTTTATACGATGGTATAGGTCAGCCTCTTTGCTGGAACTTGTTCTAGTCTTTAACGTAAAAACAAATATCTATGGGTTGTTTTCAGATACATACTTTGCATATTGTTCTCATAATGTGATTTATATTGATATATACAATTAACAATAAATAAGTCGTAATAGGTTTTCCTTACAAAACATTTGGAAATTAAAAATGGAAATAAAAAATATTAGTATGTATATATTATGAAAGAGGACCTAAAGTAAAGTGGATGTAACTTGAACTTGTATACATAAAGAAGGCTAACATACGGAGTACAGAATTTCATTTAGATGAGGAGTCACTACTACGTTGTAAAATATTTCGTATAAAGCAAAGACCAGATTCAGAGAAGTACAAGTTTTACTGCCTCTCGGTGGCTCAGCGGTAAGTATGGGGAGCTTAAACCGCTAAAATCGGGTTTGGATACTCGCGGTGGAAAGAGTACAAGATAGCTCATTGTATAGCTTTGTGCTTAAGAACAAACACACAAAATTTTATTAAAATTCTCCGAATAAAACTCAGTTCAATCTCTGATTCGTTTATATTATACACATTGCCTGAGTGACCTCAGACTTGTTGCTTAATAGTAAATCAAGACACATGGTAATGTGTCTTGCGGCCAAAACAACTTGCAGGACACAGTTTCTGTAGCTCAGACTACCACATATTATTAGTGAATGTATTCTACTGGAACCTTACTTCACATACCAAATTTCAATGTAATTAAGAAATACACGAGATATAAAATCTCCAATTTTGATTGAAGTTCTTCCTTTTTTTATTTGACAGAAAAACATATTTAACTTTCATGGATATCTTTTTCAAATTTCTTACACTGATAGTTCTTTACAACCCAGAATTAGGTATCAAATTTGGTCTAACTATAAGCCACATGTGCAAAGTTATTCAACAAAAAACCGCTCAATTTTGACCAAAAGTTTTGCTCACGCCTACATAAAAAGTCACGTGAGCTATTTAAGAGTAAAGGTGGACAGTTTTTAGGTATTCATCATTCGGATTAAAGACAGCTTATTTAAAGGAGCAAAACTATAGGGTGAAAGCACGTGCAGATACATAAGTATTGGTTACATTAGGCAAACTCAATTAGCAGTTTCTAGCTCAAGATTTTAAAAGAATCATATGGATGGATAGTTATTATTCATTATTCATTGCCAACTTTTAAGTACAAATTTATTAAGTTTTATGAAATTCTCCTATTTAAAGAGCGTTTAGCAATTAGATTAAACAATAATGCTTGATACGGCTGTACCGAGTGCATGCGGGTGATGACAAGAAACTGTTAATCTAGTTTCCATGGCGTTACTATATATGAAATTATTAACACTGTTTCAGAGAGGAAAAGCTGCAACCATATATTTCAAGAATCTGGTAAGTTCTGTAAAATAAAGGACTGTTCTAAATAATACGGTTGCGATCCTAAAACTAATGTTGGTCACTATCGAGTGTTACTTTTTTACTTGGTGGCTTGCTGGTGTGTACTGACAAAAAGTCATTATATCTAATAAAGAACATCTTAGGTGTGAAAAAAGGTGCGGCCAAAAAGGGATTGAGCGTGCGACTTAAAGGAATGAAATCCGAAACTGATTGGTACACTTTTAGCATTGATGTAAAATTTTTATCAATGCTATAAGTGTAGCTTCCAGTTTGGCCGCTCCGTTTTTTTTTCACACCTAAGGTGTTTTGATTATAATGAATATATACGTGAAGATACTACAAACAAGTATGCTAAAACTAAATGTAAAAACTATTATATACAAAGTAACATGAAATAGCTATAAAAAAAATTAAAAACGTCTTTCCTAAACTTACTCGGTCGACTTTGTCTTCTCGCCTTCGTTTCATTTCGGGTGAACGGTTTCTCTGCTTTTCGTGTGGTGACAAAGAGATCCTCTGGAAAGAAATTGAGTCGACCATGTAGGTTATGTGTACGTTATGGGTATGATGCAGAAGCAAGAAGGTTAGTAACACATTATTTAATCAGTGTGATGTCCTACTTTAGTAACAAATAAACATGTTTTGCTATTTTCTGTTAACTGGACTCATTGATTATCTTAGTAATCACATCTCGACAAATGAATGAAATCTCTCTCATTATATATAGATTTTGAAAAATGATGAAATAAAAACTTTAAATATTAAAAATATAAACATTTACAGGAAAGAAATGCAAAGAAAAACATGTTTTCTAAGCCTTAAGTAGTTGAACATCGAACAATCGTTTTACCAGTAAACAACTAACCACTAGGATTGATCTTTTTACCGGTAAACAACTAGTAGTTTACCGGTAAAAAGATCAATCCTAGTGGATAGTAGTTTACCGGTAAAACGATCAATCCTAGTGGCTAGTTGTTTACTGGTAAAAAAATCAATCCTAGTGGCTAGTAGTTTACCGGTAAAACGTTTCATCCTAGTGGCTATCCACTAGGATTGATCGTTTTACCGGTAAACTATTAGCCAATAGGATTGATCTTTTTACCGGTAAACAACTAGTCACTAGGATTGATCTATTTTACCGGTAAACAACTATCCACTAGGATTAACTGTTTTACCAGTAAACAACTATCCACTAGGATTGATCTTTTTACCGGTAAACTACTATCCACTAGGATTTATCTTTTTACTGGTAAACTATTAGCCAATAGGATTGATCTTTTTACCGGTAAACAACTAGCCACTGGTGTTAACCGTTTTACCAGTAAACAACTAGCCACTAGGATTGATCTTTTTACCGGTAAACTACTAGCCACTAGGGTTGAATTATTTACCGGTAAACAACTAGCCACTAGGATTGATCGTTTTACCGGTAAACAACTAGTCACTAGGATTGATCATTTTACTGGTAAACAACTAGTCACTAGGATTGATCTTTTTTTACTGGTAAATAACTAGCCACTAGGATTGAATCTTTTACCGGTAAACTTGGAGATTATTGGAACCAACCTTTCAATTTTTTAGATACATTAAAACGTTCTGTTTAGAGTGTACGTAAATATACCAGGACATTCTTTCGAGTTTAGAGTGTCCGTAAATACACCAAAACATTCTGCTGAGATTACATTGTACGCTGCTTATTTACAAGCACAATATACAAATAATGTTTTTAAACATTTAGTTAAAAATGAAAAGATGTTGATTACATTCCAGTATTAGGTTTACTGTGTAGTCTCTTAACTACAAATTCTAAAAAAATATTATATCTCCTTAATAAACAAGCTAGAGTTGGACAGTTGTTGAAAACATTCGTGGGTTAAGTTTACAGTGTACGCTTTAATATAACCCCCCGAAATGACGTTTTAAACAAACATTACTTAAAACTTTTGTAAGACAAACTCTAGAAATGATATGGCTTCCAGATTATCCAAAATAAGCATGTATTTTTACAAACGTTATGTTTGTAATTTATTGAAGTGCATAGCTCAGTGGTAAAGCACTGGTCTTGTTAGCCAGAGGTTCTCGACTCAAGTCTCGAAATCAATCTTCACTTGTTAGCTTTTTCATTTAAAATTAAAATGATGGGAAATTAATAAAATTATTTGACAATTTTTGAAATTGTTGTATATAACTTAGGAAAACGTAAATCTATTCTTTATTTTGATTTCAAAGTAAAAAAATATGATACTATTATTTCAAGATGAATATTTTATCACGTATCCTAGAAACGTGATTATTAGTCATGATTCAGGTTATTGTAGGTTTTTAAAACAATACAAAATTGGAGATTGTACTTATGAGCAGTTTCAAGCAATATTAGAAGCATCTGTTACGGCTTCCAGAAATACTGTCTCCGCTACCAGTTTGTACACAGTCTGATGACCAAGACTATTCATTATTGACCGATACCGCTATTTCTACTATAATAATATTCTGCGAAACACGGGGAGGTCAATCTTGAGACAATGTCAACAAATCCTCTGGTTCACTTAGGTGTTTGCTTCCACGACCATAATTTAGATTAAAGACATAAACGTTTGGGCCTACATGGGCAGAATGGGGAGTACCTAACAGGTATGTAATCGGATGAAACTGAATACATCTCGTTCTATCGATACTGTTTTCATGAAAGTAGTCGTGGCTTTAGAGATGTGGCTACATTCGTGTGAAGCTTTAGCTTTCATTAACTTCAAATCCTTCTTATGCTGTGGTTGCTTGACCCACTCCTGTTACAACAAGTGACCCACTCCTGGTACAACAAGTGACCCACTCCTGGTACAACAAGTGACCCACTTCTGGTACAACAAGTGACCCACTCCTGGCACAACAAGTGACCCACTCCTGGTACAAGAAGTGACCCACTTCTGGTACAACAAGTGACCCACTCCTAGTACAACAAATGACCCACTCCTAGTACAACAAGTGACCCACTCCTGGTACAAGAAGTGACCCACTTCTGGTACAAGAAGTGACCCACTCCTGGTACAACAAGTGACCCACTCCTGGTACAACAAGTGACCCACTCCTGGTACAACAAGTGACCCACTCCTGGTACAAGAAGACTAATTTGTTGGTTTGCTAGTTCTTCTGAATGCCTTTAAAGTTAATTCGGGTGAAAATAATAGTAATGAGTAAATGACGTAAATAAAATTGACAATCATTACACTTCACTACCTTCATCTAGTTTACTCCATTACTATCATTGTTCAACACGCAACAGATGATATAGGTAGCACCATTACTATCACTGTTCAACACGCAACTGATGATATAGATAGCACCATTACTCACATTGTTCAACACGCAACAGATGATATAGATAACACAATTACTATCCTTGTTCAACACGCAACAGATGATATAGATAGCACCATTATTATCATTGTTCAACACGCAACTGATGATATAGATAACACTATTACTATCATTGTTCAACACGCAACTGATGATATAGATAACACTATTACTATCATTGTTCAACACGCAACTGATCATATACATAGCACCATTACTATCATTGTTCAACACGCAACTGATCATATAGATAACACCAAAGCCATTACTATGTCTGTTGTATCTAAGCTGGCCCGATGAGCCTTGGTATTGTGTAAAAATCTTTGTTGGATATATCTTTTGGATATAGCAGATATAGTGTGGTCAACATATTATTACATATTCTTCTTTGCTTTAACTCATAATTTATAAGAATTTTGTAACTTAGTATTCAATTTGCAGATAACGCCGTTGCTTTATTTCCACGATAAAAAAAACAGTGACACTTTTCTCTAGTCGTACATTTACCACTGTGTTATTGCATTTTTCTATGGTCGGGAATTCACAGTGAATCAAATATATAGGTGCTAAACATAACACTCGTGGCGTCACTGGTCGCATCTACAGTAGCACGCTACTGTAAACATGTCATCCGTGGCGTCACGGGTCGCATCTACAGCAACACGCCACTGTTAACATATCACCCGTGGCGTTACGGCCTGCATCCACAACACCACGACACTGTATGAGGCACGAGTACCTTTTTGTATGATACTCAGGTTTAATTATAGTGTTTCAGTAAAAGTTTTCTAAGGTTATAAATACAGTCTATTTTTCTAATAGATTTTACCTTAAATGGAATTCAGAAAGATGGATTATAAATTTTATAACCATGTTTATTTATTTCTAATCTGATTCTTCGCTTTACCTTACATATATTTTAATATAGATTCTTGTTAATCTTGTTTTATTGTCTGAAAATATTATTTGTATGAGTTGTACTTTGGAACAACACGTGTATGAAAAAAGAACGAAGTCGTTCCCAAAACAAAAACATAAAATTAGGAATAGTAAATAATTGGTGATGTGGAAAATCCATACAAAATAAAGAATATAACATTTTCGAGTGTTATTGAGCTGTTTATTTCCATCTATTCGATAAAAAATATATACATATTAAAAAAATGATTCGGCAACAGCTATTAAAAAAATTCATCGTAGAGAACAAGGTATTATAAGAAAAGTGGAGAAATGATTTTTTATCGACCCACTGGGAAGGGTAAAAAAAAGTAATGACGTGATTTTTTCTATATAGAAGAGAGATGGGACACAAATGCTAAACCTACCAATGTTGAGTCTGATTCAGGCGAATAACAACCATAAAGGAAAACATTAGCGGAATCAAAATCAATGGAACCATTGTAAGTGTAGGCAAACTACGTTTCACATTTATCATGAGGTTGATCTGATGGAAAACGACAAAATAATTTCTTTCCTCTCGTTTGTTGAAACACTGGCGAATCTAATAGCCACAAAATCGATGCACATAAAAGCGAAAACTTAGAAAAAAAATACATTTCTGTATCCTATTTTTTACACATCTGTGTGATATCAGTGATAACGAGTACCAGTACAGCAAAATCAATAATATAAAAAATTTCCACAACAAAAACAAGAATCTGAATGCGAGAAACGTAATAACCAAAAACAGAATCTGAATTTTAAGTAGCAAGTTTTTCTTGATAGTTTGGGTTTAATGATAATTAGATAAACACTGTGAGGTAGCTAGATATGCACATAAGAATAACAATGTATTACCACTTAATGATAATTAGATAAATAACTTACTGATAACTCACCGAGAACTAGATAATTACTTAATGGTAACTAGATCAACACGTGATGGTAATTGTATGAACACTTAATCATAACTATGTATAACCGCTTAAATATAATTACATGAATGACTTAGTTATAGCCAGGTGATAACTTACATATATCTAGGTGATAACGTATTGATAATTAGTTAATGGTAACTAGATAATTACTAGTTATCACTAAGTAAAAACTTAATGATAACTATATTAGACCACTTAATGGTAACTAGATAAATTTGTTATGGTAATTGGACAAAACTTAGTGATAACTAGACATATAAGGCCCACGAGTGGCCCAGTAGTTAGCATGCCTGGCTGAGGATTGAACGTCCAAAGTTTGAGTCGCGATATGGTGTTGAATACGCTCTTCACGTTCAGCCGTGGAGCTATTGTGACAGCTAATCCTGCTTTTTTAATTAGGAGTAGTCGCATAGATGTCGGATGCTGTTGACGGGTTACCTCTCTGTGACCACCAGTTCTAGATTGTGTCTATCTGTTTGACCACTATTTGATCAAATAGTTTGTGTCTATCTATTTGATCACCAGTTTTAGATTGTGTCTATTTGTTTGACCACCAGTTTTAGTTTGTGTCTATCTGTTTGATCACCAGTTTTAGTTTGTGTCTATCTGTTTGATCACCAGTTTTAGACCGTGTCTATCTGTTTGATCACCAGTTTTAGACCGTGTCTATCTGTTTGACCACCAGTTTTAGATTGTGTCTATCTGTCCTTTACAGTTCTCTGATTTGGCCGTTTAGTACATGTTTTACATAAAGTTCCTTCAGGTTGAAAGTACTAATACAAATGATTAGATGAACATGTAACTGTAAAAGAGCACTAAGATTTGTGTATATATATATATATATCCCCAATATAGAACTATCCATATCTAAACATCACTCTGTCTTTTTATAATCATTTTACATATAGAATTGAGTATATTTTTATCTGTGGCAATAGTTGTAGAGTCATTCATATTTATTAATCAGCAATTTACTTAATCCGTAAAATACATCTGTTCATCCTGAGACATTCTAGTACCATCCATCAATATTCATACACACATCTAAAAAAAATACACTTTGTCCTTTATACACACACACACGCACCTATCACCTATATATACATAGAATGAGACGATTTATTTAATGAATTATTAGAATATTATATAAACAGTATCAGTCATGACAAAGTGTGTAATGCAAGAAATATGAAACTTCAACATGCAACCCAGCAAGTATTTTTACAGCAAAGATACAAACTCAAATATTTACTTGACAGCTGTGTATTACCGTATATAAACATGGAAAAGTGAAGATTTAAAAATGGAGGTTCTAAGTTTGCTAAATATGTTCTTGCCAAGTTATCACTCACATACGCTCCTAGAAATTGAATTTACGGTTAAATATCGTCAATCATCCTCCCTTTCTAACGAAAAACGACAACTGAAGCTTAACAGTATTGAGGGGAAAAAAATCAAAGATAATTGTGTTCGTTCTTTTCTCAACTCTGTAATTATGGAGTTTCACCAAAAGGTTGCAATTATCAATTATACGAAACCTAACACTTTAGAACAATATGTCTTGTTGTAGTTGTTTGACACATACACGACTTTATACATTTTCAGTCTGAACGAATTTTTGAGGTTATTCATCTTTATAGCTAAATGTAGCATTTTCCTACATTTATAGATCTATTGGGTAACAATCTCTATGAATGAGTTAAATGACTGTTGATAGTCGAAATTGTATAAAACCGCAATATTTGTCTGACCATGGTATTAGTAACTAACTGAGTTGAACTTCGGATGTTCTTTCAACAGAATAAGCGTATGGAATGTGTTTTGTCAAGATGTTAATCAAGGAAGTGCTTCTAGAGATTAATAATGTTAGTAGTTTTGTAAGTGAAATTCATCGAGCTGTTGAGGAGCATGGGAGGAGTTTCTGAGACATTCAGATAAATGTGATTTCTACAAGCTTTCATTATAACAGTTAGAATATTTTTATTATGATAATTACAAAACTTTCATTAATTACCGTCTTTTTAGTATAATAATTACAACGCTTTGGATAATACTTACAGTACTTTCAGTAGATAATTACGATACTTTTAACATGATAATTACAACACTTTCAATACGATGATTACAGTATTTTCATTATGGTAATTACAAGTCAAAAATGATATGCAGTGTATTGGATTTATAAGTATTTGGTCAGAATTAATGTCAACAAAAAGAAATTGATTATCTATAATAATGAAATTGCGTGTCTGTGTGTGACCGCCATAACTCCAAGAGGTAAGAAACTAGAAATCTGTAATTTTGTTCCCATACTAAGGGAACTCTGAGGGTTTGCACCTGGATATTATTACTTATGTACGTGCGTGCACGTCTTTTTATGCGAAAAACCACATAAAAAAGAAATGTAACCGCCATAGCTCCAAGAGGAATGAACCTAGAAATCTAAAATTGTTCACAGATACAAAATGGACACTGAGGGTGTGCACCTGGGTATTAATACATATCTATGTGCGTGCGCGCATGCACGTGCGCATCTTTTTATGCAAAACAAAACACGTAGAAAAGAAATTTGACCGCCATAGATCCAAGAGGAAAGAACCTAGAAACCTGAAATTTAGAAATATAAATCACAAAAAAAAAATACAAATAGAAATCAAAGTTGTGTGAGTACGCGCGTGCGTGTTAATCTTGCCCTTGCACCTGCTCTTTCCGACACGTGGTCTAATTAATCTCGCCCTTGCGCCTACCCTTTATAATACGTGGTCTGTTTGAGTTCTGTCTGTTAAATCTGCTTTTTTTTGGTCTTCTGTTGTCGTTTGTTTGAAGTTAAGGACTAAGCTATCTGTGCTCTGCCCACCACGGGTATCGAAAGCCGGTTTCTAGCGTTGTAAGTCAGCAGACATACCGCTGTGCCACTGTGGGGGCTTTGGTCTTCTACAAATAAATGATATAATTATACCCCCCCCCCCGCACACACACCATATTAATAAAATTTTACAACAAACCTTTAGAGCGAGCTTATTTAAAAAATTCGTGTTTTTCTACAAATTTACTTATTTCTTTTTACGAGGTTTAGAACCGTCGATATGCCTGGATCTTAAGTAATATGTTCTATGTATCCATTTCCTAAATATTTTATTCATATTCAGAAAGTTTATTTTGTACTGAGAAACCTGCCAAAATAAGTTCACACTTTGCTTAAAATATAACACCATTAAGAAAAATTGTATACTTTTAAAGTCTTTATTGTTATTCAAACACTTTGAGTTCTGGGAAACTAACTAGTTCTAACTATAAAACGCACATATTAGTACTTAAAAGAAGTTATTGACCTCATTAAGTTCGTGCAACATCTTACATAACCGCCAATGGCTCTCGATTTCTTTTATGTAGAACACACAATGGAACGATCTTAATGTGGGAATTAAACAGATGTAGTAAATATGGAGGTGTCAAAAAACGAAGGACTGACTTACTTGTTTTTCGTTGTTCATTACTGACACGGAGCAACATCGTGGTTGGGCGGGCAACACGTAGATTCATCAGATAAATAAATAAAAGAAAATATCCAAGTTTTATTTACTAATGAATATCTTTATAAAACACCAATATCAACAAATGTGCTAAAAGGAAGAGTAGAAAAACAAGTTTGTAACTGTAAGAAGAGAAACGGAAAGAAATTATCCTCAAGTCAAAAGTTTCTTCATATCGTATGAACAAACGTCTTGAGTCTTTTTAATGAGTCTCAAATTTATGCATTATTCATAATATCCTATAATATAGAAGAGCCATCTATTGGAATGAGAAAACACTATTATTTAATAAGATACTTTATTTACAATCATCACTAAACTTCAAAAGTGTTTTTAAAAGAAAACATCCGGCTCTTGTAACCACCACTCACCTAGAGCATGCGTTTTAAAAGAAAACAACCGAATCTTTAACCGGTACTCTCCTAAAGCGTTTTCAGAACTAAACAGCCGGATTTTGTAACCAGCATTTCCTAAAGCGCGTTTTTATAAGAAAACAGCCAGTTGTTGTAACCTGAAGCGTGTTTTCTTAGATTGTCAGTTTTGATTTTATTATGAAGAGCTAGCATGACTCTTTCAGAGAGAGTTTTTGTTAAAACCAAGTCACAATGAATTGCATCATTTTATTGTTTAAATGAGAGTACATAACAGAGTGTTCGTATTGCATATTATTTATAATTTACTTTAAAAGTGTATAAGAATTATCTGTTGAAGTGAATAATATTACCTGATCTGCTACTTTCACACCTAACTTGAATGATTATAAACTATTGGCCCACCAGTGGCACAACGGTATGTCTGAGGACATACAACACTAGAATCCGGGTTTCGATACCCGTGGTGGGCAAAGCACAGATATCCCATTGTGTTGCTTTGTGCTTAACTTCAAATAAAGTTTTCACAATAATACTGAGTTCTCAATATATCTATATATATTCTGGTTCATATGCACTAAGAACTCTGACGTACTTTTGTTTGTTTGATATTATGCACAAAGCTATACAATGTGCTCTGCTCATCGCTGGTTTCCAAACCTGATTTTTAGTGTTATAAGCTCTCAGACATACTGCTGAGTCACCGGAGGGCTTGTCGAAGTAAAATATTTTTGTACTTCTAATTATCTATCACAGTTAGTACTTTGTAGAAAAGAAAATATCTTATTTTGCTCACATCTTATTTCAGTTTCTAGATTTAAAAGAAAACAGAGACAAGATCTGAAAACTTTGGACAATATCCAATGGATTTGATGAAGCACGACTTAACTGATTATAACTCATATTCAAATATACCATCAGAGCTACATCAAATTATTGCTACGTTAAATATATAGTTATAGCTTTACAGATAGATCAGATTATTGTTATGTTAAATATATAGTCATAGTTTTACAGATAGGCCAGATTATTGTTATGTTAAATGTATGGCTATGGCTGCACCACAAAGATGCTTCCAGAAGTGTTTGGATATATTTATAATTAACTGTAACATTTTACAAGTAAATATCTCGATAGATCTGATAAAAAGATCAGATTCCGATAAACAGAAAATAGTAATACATAGGTCTAGTTCTTATTTAAAGTAAAAATATAAATATTGCTTCAATGTTATGCTAGATTGTTGTTTCCAGAAAACGTCTGAACACAGTTTCACAAAAATGTTTAGATTATTGTTGCCAGTAGAGCTGTAAATAATTTCGATGCTGTATTCGATTATTGTTCCTATTAAATGCCTGAATACAGCGTCCCAAAATGTTTAGATTATTGTTGCCAGTAGAGCTGTAAATAATTTCGATGCTGTATTCCATTATTGTTCCTATTAAATGCCTGAATACAACGTCCCAAAATGTTTAGATTATTGTTGCCAATAGACTTGTAAATGGTTTCGGAGCTGTAAGTGATTGTTTCTTCCAATAAACCGCTGAATAAAGTGTCACAAAACATTTTAGGTTATTTTTGCTAGCAGATCTGGAAATATTTTTGAAACTCTGTCGGTTCGCTGCAGACAATTAATATCTGACTAAAGTTTCATATCATTGTTTCCAGTAAAAGCTTAGCTAAATCAGATTGTTGTTACCGGTAAACATATGAATACAGTTTAGACTCACATTTTATGTAATAGTAAACCTATGAAAGCAGGTTCAATGTTGCATCACGCGTTGGTACCAGTATAAAGTGTTACAACAAGATTGTATTATTATTACGACCAATAGCTGAATGGTATGTTTGAAATAGGTCAAACCAAATCTAGATATATGTAACCATTAAATGAGTGTCACTATACTCACATTGTTGTTTATAGTGAAGTCTGAGTATAATGTTACAACATAGTTATATTGTTTTTACAAGTAGATATTTAAACACTTTTTACGGTGACTTTAAATTGTTATTAATCAGAATATGTTTAAAAACGGATTCAGAAATAAGTTAAATTATTGTAAATATCTGCATCAAGGTCGGTTTTAGATTAACACTAAGTCATTGAATACAATTAAATAAAAAGAAAAGTAATTTTCGATAATGTCTCTATACAGTTAACTCACATGGTTATTATCATTAAAAGTCTTACTATAGCTTCACGATGATAATAACTTACAACTATTGTTGAACAACAAATGTTTGCAGAAATTGATTACATTTATTAATTGTTCTTCATCCTGAAATCAGCAAAAGGCTTCTAGCCAAGCAGCCTAGCATAGTCATAATATGAAAGAGAACATAATACAACATTATCTGTAAATTTATAAAATATGCTAATACTAGCTTTTCTTCAGTTGATTTTGTTTCGAGTTTCGCTTGTTAGTAAATCAAACACTATAAATAGATCTACAAAGAACGCCTAGATATTAACAAACTTAAATTTATTTGTTTGTATATGAAACATACGTAAACTAGAATCTGTCACAAAAATCACAATAAAACTTACATAAGTTAAACAGAAAACATTATGGATTTGGAAAAATAAACCAAGTGTGAAAGCTCTTACCATGTGAGCGTTTTTCCTTGAAACTTAAAAATGAGCCTCCTGAATGGTGGGTGCTGCTTGATAAAGGTCCTGAGAAGGCTAACAGATTAGCAGCGCTACTATGTAACATCACTGATGGCTGTAGGCCTGCCATTGCAGCGTGTGGCACCATGGCTATAGGGGAGGCATGTGCCTGTTGCTGGAATGAGTGAATATTAAAACTGTTTGAATAAAGGTAGAGAATAATTAAACCTAATCTATTCTTGGTGAAACTCTACTAATTCAAATCATTTTAACAATACTCAAGTGTAAAAACCTCTGAGCTAAGCCTATCACGAAGCTCCAAAGAAAAGTTCTGAATGGTGTGAAAAATGGCAGGGTATTCTTGTGTTTTTTATATATGGTGATGATAAGATCCTATGGCATATATAAGCATAGAGGACACGGTCCTACTAAGAAACTGCCAGTGATTCCAGATGTGCTCGTGACATCCGTGTCAATTTCAACCGCCCGAAAATACTACTAAAGCTGATAAACAATGTATCAACATAATTTAGTTATTCTATGCAAAATATATCAAGACATTGTACAAAAAAAAATGGGTCATGCTAATTACAATTTGATACTGCCCTCTACCGTCCATAATCGTTTCCTACACTCGATACAGGAAATGTACACTTTTCCCATTCGCTGCGGCTTCGGTTGCCTGTGAATCTTATCACAGTTGGAAAGACCAATGGAAAATATGAAGTAATGTTGATATGCTGCCTATCAGCCTTAGTAGTATTCACGGGCGTTCAGGGACAGTCATCGGAGATCATTAGTAACACAGAAGCCCACACGTTAACTTCATGATGTAATGGTGACACTTGTGAGGTTACTAAGTAGTGTTAGCACAAAATAAATGTGTTTACCATCTAACGTAATACTAATATTTTTGGAGTTTAATGTGTATTGTTAGCACAAAAATAAAGGTGCTTATCATGTAACGTAATGCTAACACTTGTGGGGTGCGATAGTTGTAGTACTGGAATAATAGGGAATCCACGTGTTTAATATATCCTGCAATACTAAACTTATAGAATACGATAAGCTTGAGTTTACTACATAATATAACGCTAGCACACTCATGCTAATATATTTACTATATAATATAATGGATTGTGACAAATAGTCCTAACTGGGAGCACAAGAATTTACTACATATGATAATTCTAAATTTTTTTGGCCGTGATACACATTTGGTAGACAGCTCACGTGTGTTCTGAGCACTGTAGAAATAACACGTGACAGTGTGTAAAGTGCTTCTAATTTTTAAGTCTAGCACTTGAGGGGTGGGGGAATAATACTAATAGTGAGAAGTCCACGTGCTTGCCATACATTCTAATGTTAAAAGTTCTTGGGTGGGATTAGCTTTCCTATATAAGAAAGATTTCTGCTCATTAAAATGGATGGTGGAAAACACAGATTGGTTGTCTGTAGATAATGATGATCTCTTTGCATACCTTTAGATGTCTGTACATACAGTGGTAAGTACATAAAAGGTACATAAGATTACCAAAATTGTTAAATATAATTGAAGAAACAAAGTACCTTGGTCACTTTCATCCAATACAAAATAGGAATATAGCAGCTAAAGGCCTAGGCTTCAAGTCATAATAGTGATATAGTGGCTCCCTCTGAAAATAGTAAAGTGTTCATGTTGTGTTATGATGAAATGTGGTGTAGTTTGAAGTTGCAGTGTTTGTTTGTTTGTAGTTAAGCACAAACCTACACAATGGGCTATCTGTACTCTTCCAACCACTGGTATCTAAATACGGTTGCTAGCGTTGTAAGCCCACTGGAGGGCAAGTAGAGTGACATAAAAAGGAATCGAAGAAAATTTATGTGAATAAAACAAATAAATTAGGAAGAAAAGGAGTTATGACACAAAACTTTAAAATATAAGTTATAGAATTAAATAAAACAGTTAGGATATATATATATTTGTATAAGGAAGAAACTAAGTGAAAAAATTAAAATAGATTATAAATAGCAAATAAAAATTAAAATACCACAAAAAGAAATTTCTTTCGCAAGAATTAAATAAAATATTCTGGTAATCTTATTTAATTAAATAAAAATAAATACTTGTAATTACTGACTAAGTGCTTTATTAGGACTTCCGTCTAATATCAGTTTGGACTATTTTTTCGCCACGATAATATTTTGGACTTGGTTAGGAGTATTTTCTTATTTAGATATCGGTAGAGGATTACACTGGCAAATACAACCTTCAAAATTAACACACAAATATTCAATAAGACGCAGATCTAGTGAATCTGTTAGTCAAAATGACGACTTAGGTCAACGAGATTCTCTTCGGACCATTGTTGGGTTATAGGTGGGCAGCAAGTTATTGAACTATCGTCTTGAAAGAGTAGTGTATGATGGATATAATCGAATCCGTTACAACGTTTAAGTAGATTCTGAATATCATTTGCACTTTTAGTGAAGTCAAAAGCTTCGACCACTGTCACGAGAATGTTTCCCAAACCATTCACCTTCTCCGGTAACGTTATGACCAAGTTCTGTATCTATAGAGGAATGTAACATTCCACACACCATTACACATCTCTGGCTACTTTCACTCTAAGTTATGTATCCGTAGATAAATGTCTGTAGAATAAAATGGATGTTTGGTTGTTCAGACAAATTTCTATTCATACAGATAGATATTTTTGCTTACAGATTAATGCCCATACATAAATTGGAACGAAGTACGTGCAGATGGAAGTGTTTTATAGATAGCTATGAACATAAGGCTATCTGTAAAGAAGTTGTTGGATTGGTGTTCACAGAGGTATAGTTGTATACGTATAGAGGGACGGATATGCATACAGTAGGATACATCTAAGAAGAGAGGTATTTCTGGCGTAAACATGTTATGAGTATATACATAAAGATGCTTCTTCTGAATAACTAGAGGACTGAACTTGTGGATCTATATCTACAGACTGTCCTTTGTAAATCAATAAGTGCTTGAAACTGTAGATTGGGATATTCAGTTATAACTTTACTGTTGTTTTATGTGCGTACGGAAGTCTGTAGATAAAGTTTAATGTCTGTTCAATCAGATGGTCCTCTTTGCCCCTCTGACGACGAATATTAGAATTATTCAAGGCAGCAATGCAGTAATCCGTAACATTGTGCATCAGTGAAGGATGTTGGAGTGTGAAAAATTGGATTGTGAGTAAACGTACAGTTCTCGTGGTGAATTGTTCGTCAGTGTTATGAAACACTTTTCTCGACCATAAAGCTTGCACTTATACCTATGTTAAATATTGCATGTGACATATGTCATGACGAAGGGCACTGCAAATCCAAATATCTAATACACAAGTGTATTTTAAACATGAAACATGGAAATTCACAGATATTTTGTCATGCTTTTCTATCTATCTAAACATTATATAGAAATACATTAGAAATGATGAAAATACATTTAGAGCTTCATGTATTTTCTTCTTCAAAATAACATACACTCTTATAAAACAGTAACAATTATGTCTGGATATCTCTATTAAGAATGATTCACACGTTTTTATTTTTATTTCCAAAATATTACTACAGATGTAATTTTACAAAATTAACAAAAGGGTTGAGTGAAAAGGAAGGGTTCCTAATTTCAAAGGCTGGTGTATTTAACAAGGATAACTTAAAAAAAACGTTCTAAATGTTCACAAAAACATCTTTTTATCTTTTATCTTTTTAATAATTAGAAATAATTAAGGAAAATATAGAATAACTTACAAGGGTTCTCTGATTTTTTAAATATTTTGTTAAAATACCAAATTCAACTTCGTAGAAGCTATACAAACAGCCAATACGTGATCACATAGAAACAAAATAATCCCTGTTGCTCAAAAACAGTTTCATTAGAACCTGCCGTTGTTAGGAAAATTCTCGATTTAAGAAGGTAAAGTTCATGTGGGGATGTCGTTTGTTTAGATGCAATAGAATGGAACTTGGGACAAAGTAAAAAAAAAGCTAAATACAGATATACGAACCATTAGATGGGCGATACTGGAGTGTTGGTGCTTGAAGAGAAAAAGAAAACACCAGTAAGAAATTATTTATAACTTAATAACGTAGACATAAGAGGAAGAAACAGAAACGTTCAAGTCTACAAAAGCTAGTAAAACAGAAATAAAGAAGAAAAGACGAAGATGTGACAGTAGGATATTCTAATATATTCTTTATATACAATAGGTAGTTTGTTTTCAGTCAAAAACTGTTTCGAAATTCTGGTTGACGGTACTGCTTTTTTTAATATTTACGGTTTTACACAAAATTTTTAAAAAACACGTTATATCTTGGTTAAATATTCGTAATTTTTAAATTTAAAATAATGAAATATTAAACACGTTATGTTTTTTCAACTATTGAGTATTATGCTTACTATGATATTTCTTTATACAGAGTGTCCGAAAATTTTGGACCCGTAGATGATGTGCAGCTTTTCTTAATTTCAGATATGTGCCTGATGATGGCGCTGTCAAAACATGAGAAGGTCGAGTTAAACCTGCAGTTAATCCAAACTTGTTTCGAATTACAATGACAGCGTGTGGAACACATTCTGTAAAATTCATTGAAGTGCCTATGGTTCTAGACTTTTCGGATACCCTGTATATATCCTATGATATATTCAATTAAACCTACTTAGAATTCTAGATAAGGACGTATGAAGTCAAATGGTAAGAAAAGTGAGTAAACTTCACGTTCAACTGTACACAGAAGCATCTTATTGCCAAGCTTTGGTTTAATATAAGATTACTTACACCAATAATTCATCTTCAACTGTATACAGAACCATCTTATTGCCAAGCTTCGGTTTAATATGAGATTACTTACACCTATAATAGCGTTCAACTGTACACAGCAGCATCTTATTGTCAAGCTTTGGTTTAATATGAGATTACTTACATCTATAATTCACGTTCAACTGTACACAGAAGCATCTTATTGCCAAGCTTCGGTTTAATATGAGATTACTTACACCTATAATAACGTTCAACTGTACACAGCAGCATCTTATTGCCAAGCTTCGGTTTAATATGAGATTACTTACACCTATAATTCACGTTCAACTGTACACAGCAGCATCTTATTGCCAAGCTTCGGTTTAATATGAGATTACTTACACCTATAATTCACGTTCAACTGTACACAGAAGCATCTTATTGCCAAGCTTCAGTTTAATATGAGATTACTTACACCTATAATTCACGTTCAACTGTACTCAGCAGCATCTTATTGCCAAGCTTTGGTTTAATATAAGATTACCTATACCTATAATTCACGTTCAACTGTACACAAAAGCATCTTATTGCCAAGCTTCGGTTTACTATAAGATTACTACACCTATAATTCACGTTCAACTGTACACAGAAGCATCTTATTGCCAAGCTTCGGTTTACTATAAGATTACTACACCTATAATTCACGTTCAACTGTACACAGAAGCATCTTATTGCCAAGCTTCGGTTTAATATAAGATTACTTACACCTATAATAGCGTTCAACTCTGTTATGGTAACTTGTTTAGCTTTATCGACTGCTGCTGTTACTTGTTGCTGATGCTGTAAATTGGAAGCACAAAACACAGACAATACATTACATATACACAAATAACGTTGATTTCTGTTTCTAAGGTAAGTGAGAGTTCTGTTTTTAAGATGTATTCTATGTCTGTTTCTAAGATGGGTACTATATCTGATTATAAGAAAGATACTATTTATATAAATGGCCAAATTTTTAAGAATTACAACAAAACATGTTGCAATACAGAACGAGAGATGTGAGAGCACTACTAGGTTTGATATAAGAGCACTACTAGGTTTGATGTGAGAACACTACTAACTTTGATGTAAGAACACTACTAAGTTTGATCTAAGAACACTGCTAGGTTTGATGTGAAACACTACTAGGTTTGGTGTAAGAACACTGCTGACTTTGATGTAAGAACACTGCTGACTTTGATGTAAGAACACTACTAGGTTTGATGTCAGAACACTACTAAGTTTGAGGTAAGTACATTACTAAGTTTGGTGTAAGAGCACTAATAGGTTTGATGTGAGAACATTGCTAGGTTTGATGTAAGAACACTACTAACTTTGATGTAAGAACACTACTAAGTTTGATCTAAGAACACTGCTAGGTTTGATGTCAAACACTACTAGGTTTGATGTAAGAACACTGCTAGGTTTGATGTAAGAACACGGCTAGCTTTGATGTAAGAACACTACTAAGTTTGAGGTAAGGACATTACTAAGTTTGGTGTAAAAACACTGCTAGGTTTGATGTAAGAACACTACTAGGTTTGACGTAAGAACTCTGCTAGCTTTGACGTAAGAACTCTGCTAGGTTTGATGTAAGAACACTGCTAGGTTTGATGTAAGAACACTGCTAGGTTTGATGTGAAATCTCTTTATTCCCAAATTACTTTCTACGAAATCACTGACTTATGCACTGAGTAAGCGTTTTTTTTTTGTTTTTTTTTTGCTTCTGGTGTGGTAAATGATTTTTTATAAGTTGATCTCTTTTTCAGTAACAAAATTTCATTTTATATTTAATGATAATGGATTAGTTTATAAATAGGTTGATAATGTAAGAATAGAGACAAATATTAGAGCTTTATAAGTAATTTTGTTTAAGCTCCCATTCAAATGCTTATAAAACTGTATATTTGTTTTGAAATCACTTTATTAAAGACAGAATAATAAAGACACATTTGCCATTTTTTAGTTACAAGAACAAGTTAATGAATTGTTCAAAGTTATAAATGGCAAATATGCGAATATAAGATTTACAACTGAGTTTAGACAAAATCAAAATGACTTTTTCTGGCAATCAACGATGTTAATTTGAAATGACTATCTATATTATCGAAGTATTCTAGGTAGTACGTTCATCTTAATTTATCATTTTATCACTTTCAGTCTCAGGACCATGATTGCACTAAATATTGTCCGACACTATAATTTCCATCTAAATGGCTTCTGAGAAGAACAGCGAGGTTAATCATGATAAACTTTCCACACACCTTCCACTACTTCCCTGCAATGTTGTATCGTTTGGCTTTACATCATTTGTCAATCTGTTTTTACGAATCTTTTTTTACGGAAAGGACCGTGACATACACATCCTGACGTAAGGTTTCTCGAAGGTGGCATTTCAAAATCGAATGTTCAAGAATTCTTTGTAAACGAAGTATATGGACGCTAAACATGTAACTCGCGACCCCACAGCTCGGCTGACACCTTTCGTAATATGTCACTATATTAGTACATTCAACTCAGTTTTTAACATATGATTAGCGCTGTGTAGAAGAACAAACGCTCCAATATCACTTGTAAAATACTTCTAGCATTGCTCAGTTTTACAGATTAAGTGGTGTAACATCGCCATAGGAAAAGACAATTTTAGCACTCTTAATGAAGCTGAGAAAGAGTATGATTTAATTATTTGTGAGAATACTCTTAGGCCCGTTTGAAAATAAAAATAAAAACTAGCTTTTTCGCTTATCTTGAAATTGTAAATTCTTTTATTTTTCACTAACAAATCTTAATACATATTCCTAGCTTTAGATAGTATTTTTAATAATAAGATACCTACCAGTAAGATATCAAAATTTTAGATTGCCTATAAGAAAATACATTTTAAATGATGCATAATACTAATGTTATGCATATTAGTAAATTATCCATAAAGGGAGGATGGACAGTCTATTGAACTGAATGAATTCGTGGATACTTTACAAATATGTGTACATGCGGTGACTGTAATTACTATCTTTAAATCCAGACGTATGAATATCAGGGAATGTCCTTTAATACCGATAATTTGATGTTGTCGATAATCAATGAACTTACTTTTTTACATAGAATACATCATACTCTAGTTTTATAAGAATATAATTAATGGAAATTTAATGAAAAGATAAAATAATCTCATGTATATTAGTGTTAATTTTGAAATGTTTAATAAAAGTACATAAACTTGAATATTTAACCAAAATATATTTAAACCATAGCAGCAATATTTTTGTATTTAAATATTAGGACCATCTTAACTTTAAATTTAAAGTTGAGTATCTAAATTTGTCTAAGCCAACTATTCAAGCTGATCACCCTAACACCATCTTTAAACTTCTGTATTAGGATCATCCCAACTATTTACTCAACTAACAATTTATTCATATTTAAACATGAAGAGTACCTCAAGAATATACTCATCCCAACACTATTGTAATACTTAGCTATTAACATTATCACAGTAATATATATGAACTTGATTTTTGAGAACATTTCTAAACCAGTAAATTCATATCCTCTTCTTAAGACCGTCCTATTATAAAAAATATATTCAAAATGATTTAAGAGTATTCCAACTATCTATTCCAACCGTTTTAATAATTTATTTAAATTTAGTTCATACTATCTTTAAAAAATATTCGAATCATTAAAACCATTCTGTCAATAAATCAAGTTAATGCTGTTATAATTGTCCTTAAAATTGTAAAACACATAAGGACACTGCACAAACTTACCTCTTGGGACAAAAACGGTAGAATCTGAGCTATTATAGCATTAAGTCTTTTAGCAATCTCCATCTGGAAAGAAATTAAAACAAGAATAAACTCTTGGTATATAGCTTTCACTTCTCAAGCTTCTCCCAGTGGGTCAACGGTCAAGTTTATGGACTTACAACGCTAAGTTTCGGGGTTCGATTCCCCGTGGTGGGCAGAGTGCTGAGAGCTTGTTGTATAGCTTTGCGACCAAACAAGCGAAACAAAAGACACCTGAAGATTAACAGATATGAAGAAACAAAGAGACTTCAAAAATGACTTTTCATAGGTTAGTAACTTCTACCTATTCAGTTATTTTCCATGTATCACATTTTCACTATTGAATGCTACAGAAATATACACCAAACGTGGATAGAAGCTAGAACCACACATTTTAAACTAAATCGCGGTTCTATTGTAAGTAATGGTATTATTTACCTAATGACGATTTAATTACAAGAAAATTTTTCTACGCCGTCTACCTCAAAACTTGTGGCAGGTTCACTCATAAAAACATTCAATGTTAAGAACGGTTTCTAAAAACGTGTTGAAACTAAGATTGAATCATGAAAGCTTTTAAGTAGGAATGCATTACTAGGGTATACATTCTGAAAACGTTTTTTTTTTATTAATATAAATAAAACCTCTTTTTTCTTCTCCAAATTTGAAATAATATCAGTCCAAAAAGGTAGCTACCATGAAAAAGTGAAAGTTCAACTACTATAAAACTTTTGATTTAAGTGACTTTACATATGGTTCAGAAGCAAAACTCGACTTCTTCCATTAACCGAGTTTCCACATTTAGGAGCAGGATAGTGTTTTTCCGTTCATTTCAATTCCGATAAAAGTTTTTGTTTGTGAAGATTCTAGGCCTAAGCTTCTTGGGAAGCTTAACTTCATCATGGTCCTTTTCCTTCCCACGTAATTGAATTCCAGACACGAAAGGGAAGACAAGGAAACATATCGAGCTCTTCTGACATAAGAAGTTACTAGGCTACGTGGTGAACTGGCCAGTGGTACATGAAGGTTCCATATGTTCTATAAAACATATGATAAATCAAGTCTTCATATGACTTTTGCTGGGAAGAGTGGAAAATGCTTCATTACGAAACTTTTAGCTTGTCTACAAAAGATTGCTATGGTAATCATTCATGTAATTAGAAGATTATAACGATTCACGGACTTATTAATATATCAAGTGACCTTCACTACAACAAGCACTTGCTCCAGCGGTGAGTCTTATGGAGCCATTCTGTAATGACGTCACTCACTTCCACTTTTGTGACCAAAGAACCAAATCAAATTACAGAAAACACTTGGATCAATTATAAACACTGAATGCATTGACTTAAACTAACCAGTACAAAGAAATAAGGTTTGAAATAAACACCAGTTTTAATACACCAAAGAAAAAGACACACCTTTTTGTAAACACCGAACATAAATGCGGTAACTTGGCATTAGACTGATATAAACATTTACTGCGTTTTACAGGATTAAATAATTTTAAACTCTAAAGCCAGTGAAGTAACCATTAAACTGCCACTTGATCGCGGAAGTTGGTTTTCTACGTTCGTATTAACTAGTTTATTACGAATTTACAATTACAGACATGTAAAAATAGTATTATAATCTTGGAAAACAGTCATCTATATTTTACATAAAAATAGATTGAATAGTTTATACAGTTATTTGCAAGATTAAAATATAAGAACCGTGAAATACGTTAGGTACTTGCTCGTCTTCGATTATCAATATAAAATGACACCCACAGAATGGCTGATTTCGCGCAAGGGTTGGTTCTTGAGGATAAGGTTTTCGTAATTTATTAATTCAAGAGCACTTTTGAACTTTACTTCATAGTATTAAGTTTCCACTTGAGCATCAATGTTTCTTTTTTTTCTCTGGGAAGAAAATTTGAATCGCTAAAACTAGATTTTGCTTTAAAAAATAAATAAAATGTCGTCATAGCTGATAGATGAAAATTAATGCATAAGTACTTAAATTAGAACACACTCGTATGATAACATAAAAATACAACACTATTTCCGATTTCTAGTTTCAAGAAGAGCTCTCACTAATCTAGAGCTTACTCTTACAAAGACACGTATTGTTCTCTGTTGGAAGATTAGAGGCACGATGTGTCTTATCTAAACAATGTTTGTCCCATTAAACAGAAGAAATCAGACTTGACAGAAAAAGCAGAGTGAATCCTTGAATTCCCTCTCTGGAGTACGATCAATCGATAGTCATACTGTTTTTCAATCAGCATAGAAGTACGTGTAGTTCAACGTGTTCAGAACTTCGCGGCTTTAGCTCTCGGCGTTTAGCATAGACTACTTTCTCTGTCTGTATTAGTAATCTGGTTCCAAAACTCATGTTCTTCTTCCTCCCCCTATACACAAACACGATAATAAAGATGTAAGATGTGTAGTACAGAAGTATCTCGGAAGGTTAAAGGAACAAATAAAATATATATATGTAGAAAAAAAAAGCCCACTCTGTTTTGAAATAAGTTCCTTTTTTATCGTCGTATGGATAGAGAGCATTGAAAGACTGCTAGACCATAAATATATCTATAATAATAAAAGGGCGTGTCTGTGGGTCTGTGTGTGTGACCGCCATAACTCCAGGAGAAAAGAACCTAGAAACCTGAAATTTTGCACACATACTAAGTGGACCCTGAGGGAATGCACCTGGGTGTTAATACCTATACACGTACGTGCGCGCGTGCTCGAGTGCATCTTTTTGTGAGGTAAGCAAGCAAAAAAAGACATATAGAAAAGAAAATGTGACTACCATAGCTCCAAGAGCAAAGAACCTAGAAAACTGAAATTTTACACCCTGGTGGACTCTGAGGTATTATTACTTGTCTTATCCACGGGCGAGCGCGCATGCGCACCTTTTTATTGAAGCTAGCGAAAACCAAAATAGAAAATAAGTGGTTCCTTATATTATAAATAGAAATCACAGACAGACAGATACGCACGTGTGCGCGTGCGTGTATGTGTATGTGTTATCGCCATAGCTCCAAGAGGAAAGAACCTAGGAACCTGAAATTTTGCACTCATACTAAGTGTACCCTGTGGATGTGCACCTGAGTATTATTTATCTTATCCGCGTGCGTGCGCTCATGCACGTGCGCATCTTTTTGATGAGGCAAGCTAGCGAAAAACAACATAGGAAAAATGGGGTTTCTTATATTACGAATAGAAATCACCGACATCCAGACAGACGCTCGTGTGTGCCTGCGCTCGTGCGTGTTTGTGTATCTGTGATTGACATAGCTCCAAGACGAAAGAATCTAAAAACCTGAAATTTTGCACCCATATTAAGTGTACTCTGAGGGTGTGCACCTGGGTATTATTACTTATCCAAGTGCGTGTGCAAATCTTTTTATGAGGCAAGCTAGTGAAAAAAACACATAGAAAAAGAAATGGATCCTTATATAACAACTTTTAATATGTAGAAAAGCCAGTGCGTTTTGGTAACGTTGCGTTCCAACAATGATTTAACCTAATATTCCTTTTATTCTATGAACTGAAAGTATAAAATGAAATGTATAAACTACAAAATTAAATATATATATTTGTTTGTTTCTTAGCTTAAAGTCTCCATTGATTAAAGAGGTTTGACGAATATACAAACTCACATTATCATCTACAACCCCGAGCGAAGCCGGGTACTTTCGCTAGTATATATAACGTAAACATAAAGTTTAGTGCATGAAATTAATCTTTATACAAGTCAACAACATTGCATAAAAAGAAACAGCTGAATTTATAGTAAAAAATGGAAGCACCAAGAAATAGAAAAAAATATTATTCTATCAGGTTCTGTGTTCAACCTGTTTCTTCTTGATAAATAGAAAATTATATTAGCGTTAGTTGATCTTGAGAATAATAAAATTAGCCAATTTCCATAGGCAAGGCTGCAGTCACTTTAACATATACTTTTTCCAAAGTGACGTAGAGCACTTCATTTTGCTTGAATATGTAAATGACTCATACAAATAATAATGATATAAATTAGTTTAATGGAGAATTAGCGTATGTGTTGTTTAGTTTGAGCATAATTAATCAGTACTTCATAATCCTGATAATACCAATAGGTAACTGTTCTTGTAATTATGGAAACATTATAATTATAATACATTCCAAGTGATAAACTGTATAAATGTTTCTGATAAGCAGGTCAGTCGCAAAAAATATTATGTGCTAGGTATTTGTTTGTTTGTAATTAAGCACAAAGCTACACAATGAGCTATCTGTGCTCGGCCCACCACGGGTATCGAAACGCGGATTCAAATGTGTGGACTGAATCTTCAAGCTAAGTAATTGCGTTAACTTGTGTTCTGGATGAAGCGAAACGTGGATTAAATAAATTAAGTGAGAGAAACGGTGTTTTAAGTAAAATTAAATCTGTGAAACGATGTTAAAAATCACGTAAATTGGGGAAATGGGATTTTATATGAAAGAAATATATTAGTTGTTGTTTTAAGCGAAATAAAATGAGTGAAAGGGATTTTATATTAAAACCTCAAACGGTTGTTTAAATGGAATTGAACATGTGAAAAGTTGTGTTTAGTTGGAATGAGCGAAATTGTGTTTTATGTTTTAGATTAAACGGAATTCATCAAGTGATTTTAGAATAATTTTATGGACGGTTTTTTCAGTTAAAATGAACACATGGACTATTTTTAGATGAAATTAAACGTATTAAATGTTTTTAGACGAAAAGTGTCAAACGGTATTTTAGATTAAATGATATGTGTGATATAATTTTGTTTCTTTGGATGAAACGAGTCAAACATTGTTTTAAATTAAATTAAATGTATTAAATGTTTTTAGACGAAAAGTGTCAAACGGTATTTTAGATTAAATGATATGTGTGATATAATTTTGTTTCTTTGGATGAAACGAGTCAAACATTGTTTTAAATTAAATTAAATGTATTAAATGTTTTTAGACGAAAAGTGTCAAACGGTATTTTAGATTAAATGATATGTGTGATATAATTTTGTTTCTTTGGATGAAACGAGTCAA